CTCCTTATATGGCTACTTCTTCATATATGGATTGTGTGATAATTTGAGTGAACTGTAAAGACTTTATGGAATTGATACCAATCTAACCCATCTTCATTGTTGAATTGGTATTCGCGATCAATCTAAGCATTGTTTAAATTCTATGAGAAGATTGAGCCGACAGCTTTGGTTCCAATTAGTCAATGAGGCTACGACGTCAATTTTGTTAGATGACAAAAGTTAGCAATCGGAGAAAAAGAAAAGAGAAAAGGACAATATCAATTTAGATATCAACAACACTTAGTTCATGAATAGTTGCACCCGGATGAATTTCATGAATATGCTCGTTGTTGTTAATGACTATGTATTTCAAAAACGATATAGCTGAATTAAGTCAACACCAGATTATCTGATGAATTAAAGGGGTTGAAGCTACATAGAAATCCATAAATAGTAATTTCTGTCGAGTAACGGTTTAACTATTTATTTAATTGTCAATCCAATTTTTTTTAGTGAAGCTCAAAACGGATCATTGAACTATTAAGTAATTCTAATACATGTCATCAATCAAATTTATTTGTATAACAGGTCACCATACTAAGCAAAAAATTCACCCGAGATCATTCTGTTAATTTTGACCATTAAATAGTAATGGAAATCCATTTTTCACATCCTTTTGGATTCAGGGGTATTTTTGTCATTTTGTTATTTTTAAATTTTAATTTTTTTTTGAATTTTTTTTATGTTTTTTACGATTCTACTTGTTATACTTCCTAACTTATATATACTGGTAGTATAATTCTAAATTTCAAAAATTCATTTTAGTTTTGTATTTTAACTTCTAGATTATAAAATTTTTTAAAAAATTTAAGAAATGAAGAAGAAAAATTCGAGTTAAAGTACACATGAAAATTAATAGTTTACCATTTTAAACTAAAATAAAAACTAAAACAATTAGCTAAGACAAGTTGTTTCTTCTAGTTTATTTAATTTTTTTCAACTCAATCGAATTATTTAATTATTAGTTTTCACGTTAACTTAAATTTGAATTTTATATATTTTTTCTGATTTTTTTTATAATCTAGAAGTTAAAATACAAATAAAAAATTAACTTTTAAAATTTAATAATGATAATAGTACTAACATATATAAGTTAGGAAGCAAAAGAAGAAGAATTGTAAAAAATAATTAATTAAAATATTAATATTTTTTTAAAAAATATAAATTGATGAAATTGCCCTGAACCCAAAAGTAGATAAAAAATAGTTTTCTGTCACGATTTTACACCCAAAATAACTTAGGGGAAACAACTTCTCTTAGCTCAAAGCTATTTTGAACGTTAAATCGTGGCGAAATACTATTTTTCACATGCTTTTGGGTCCAAGGGTAATTTCATAATTCTGCATTTTTCTTTAAATATATTAATATTTTAATTTTTTTTTAACAATTCTTCTTCTTTTTTACTTCCTAACTTGTATATGTTGGTATTATAATAAATATTAAATTTTAAAAATTAATTTGTCATTTGTATTTTAACTTCTAGTTTATAAAAAAAAATAAAGAAAATAAATTCAAATTGAAGTAAACATGAAAATTAATAATTAAAAGATTAAATCGAGTTGAAAATAATTAAATAACCAAGAAGAAACAACTTGTCTTAGCTAATTTTTAGTTTCTTTTTTGGTTTAAAACGATAAACTATTAATTTTTATGTTTATTTCAATTCGAATTCTTCTTCTTCATTTTTCTAATTGTTTTTAAAAAAATTATAATCTAGAAGTTAAAATACAAAAGTTAAATTAATTTTTAAAATTTAGAAATTATACTACCAGCATATACAATTTAGGAAGTATAAGAAGAAGAATTGTAAAAAAATAATTTTTTCAAAAAAAAATTTTAAAATAACAAAATGACAAAAATACTGTTGAATACAAATGCATGTGAAAAATAGATTTCCGTTACTATTTAACTGCCAAAATTAAGAGAATAATCTCGGATGAAGTTTTTGCTTAGTATGGTGACCTGTTATACAAATAAATTTGATTGATGACATGTATTAGAATTACCTAATAGTTCAATGACCTGTTTTGAGGTTAACTCTAATTTTTTTTATACTAAGTTGGACTGTAGGTGTATCCTAATTCAGATACTAATTAGAATGTTAATATAGAATCGCATCAACAGAATTATTACACATTTTGTTTCCAATTCAAACCTAATATGAAATTAATAAAGAGATTTCATACTTTGCTTTCTTCAAGTTGCATTTTGCTTGTTTATTTTTTCCCTAAATACAAAGAAAAAAGAAAGATTTTTCTTGCACAAACATGTCGTTCAATTTCTTTTTATTTTTATTATATATGCCAATCCTTTATTTTTGCCTTTTCAAAACTAAATTCCCTTTTATCCCATTTTTACTATAAAAAGGTTTCGAAACTCAATATCTTTTATATCTATATTTCAACTTTTTTATCTCCCAAAATTTTCTCTTGTGATAAAAGTATTCTTTACTTTTTATTTTAAAGTAAATTTCTAGTAACTTAATTATGAACGTCTAAGTTAATATTTTGTTACTTCACAAAGGCCTTTGTTGTTTTTCTTTTAATATTTAGAATCAAAATTTTCTATTTAATTTTTCATATCAAATCATGAAAAGAGAAAAGAAAAAGGCTCGGATATAAATATTAGTGTGACAACAAAATTTAGAAAAATTTTCCCTAAAAAGAAAGAGAACCAAAATAAAATCGGGATAAAACATTATTGAAAATGAACATAAGTAAAAGGTGTGACCTAAAAGGTCCTTATCTGTTTTTATAAACAACCTTTCTAACATTTATTTGAACAAAATCTCTGAATTACAAAACTAATTTTCCTATTTTTAAAAGCAACAATAAAGATCTATCCCCAGATTTTCAGGGGCTAACTAAAGCCATTTAAACATTAAACATACCACAAAAATAAACTCGTGATTATGCAAGTCATTTTAAAAAATATAATACTCCAGTAAGTAATCCAATTTGGCAATCAAAATTTGGACTGTCTCCGTGATGCAAACCTGGTTGAAGAAATTGTATTAATTTAAAGAAAATAAGCTCGTGAATATGCAAACACATCCCTCCATATTTGTCTACGTTCGAGAAAGTGCCTCTTCTTCTTGCTCAAATTTACCTGTTCAGGGAAGTGCTTCAATCTATTTCTGTTTTTCAGTGTAAAAACACAAAATACACAATAATAAAGACAACTACTTATACAAAAATTTAAAGAATAGCCAAAGACATGATTTTTTTTTTAATGCAAAATAAAGAAAACCCAATCGGCCTATCTCGAGTAGAATTAAAACAAGAACGATTATGTTTTCTTTTTTTGGATAACCTGATTCATTGTCCTTATACATAACCTTGTTCATGTTTTTTAATTAGTAATGAACAAATAATCAAATGAGAAATAAAACATAAATAGAGCTTAACGATATTATAAACCAAATTGTGTATTAATGGAGAAATGAGGAACTATAAGATGAAGCAATAACATTTCTTACTAATTCAGCCAAGAAATTATCAAATCAACTCAGCGAATGGCCATCGATCCTATCTAACACACAGAAGAATACTGAGGATGTTAAAACCGAATTAGTAGGTCAAATAACTCTCCAGAAGTCACTTATAAAACACACAACACTTTCTCACAATTTTGGATGTTTTGCTATATGATAAACTGGACAAAACAAAGAAACAACCGTATCAAAACTATAATAAAAACAAAGCAACAGAAAGAAACGAAAAATAAAGTATTCCATTCGAGCAAACAGAATATAAAAGAAATGACCATGAAAATGAAAATGGAAGGCGGCGGCAATTCCTTTAGCGGAGTTCTGGCTTCGATGACTAGTGATCTGATCAGATGAGTGGCAACAACGACAGAGACAATATAGATGTTCGCAAAGCCAAATTTGATCGGATATTATTTACAAATTCAACAACAAAGAGAGGTCATTGCGGTTGTTTTAGAATTTCAACGTGAGCTAATTTGAGTCTATCCTAACTGAAATTCTGATGAAATAAATTAATTAAAGTAATTCAACTAAATATAGAAAAGGTAATTTTCTTAGATTAACAATTTAACAAATTATTTTTTTACTGGTTAATGAGCAACCAATTAAATATTGACATATGTCGATGGAGCTATTGATGACATGAATGAGCGATATGTGTCGATTATCTTTTTCTTTAATATATATAATAGTTTATATTAAAATTGAAAATCTAAATAGGACCATAATTTCAGGTAACAGACTCCGTCCATGGGTTCGAATCTCCATTACATAGGGATGGGGAGTGTTTAATAATGCAATGATTGGAATGTAGGTCATGATTCTTTCCCTTTGTAAAATATAAATTCAGTGTAACACCACTAGTAACGTGTCACTGCAGACACCAATGCCTCTTTGCCAAGGACTAATCAGTACTTACTCGTAGAGAAGAAAGAAAATATATGCTGTACTCTTGGGTCCCTTTCTACGTAAATAAAATAAATGCACATTTATACAGCTGAAGATTTTAAAGCGTTAGAAGATCAGCAAATAATCATGGCTTTAATCATGTAAGTTATTGTGGCCTTGAATAAACGTACGTTATATAAGAAAAATATTTGATAAGGTTGCCATTTAAGAAATCACCTGCTTTAACCTTCATTGTGAGTCACTACTATTTTCAGATTATCAGCGCGCGAGAAATCAGTCACAAAATTATTTGTAATCAATCAGATTTTCCCAATACGTCAAACACAAGGGATCAAATGATTCTTTGAAAATCAATTCGTGAAGTCCGTTGGAATCACAAAATTAGCTTCCAAAGTTTAATGCTACATAGAACTACACCCAAAAATGTCCTATAAGAGGCTCAACATAACATTAATTTGTCGCACCTAGACGTCCTCCCGAGTCCTACTAGAGCCTCTTTTCTTTCCAAATACTATTTCTTCATCGATCCTTTTTGTTTTTTCTTGATCACTTCAATTGTTCAATGGAGATGGCTGATGTTGTCAGACAACTGGAGAACAGCAGCATTATCGTCGCCGGTGCAGCTGGTTTTCTCGCAAAGAGTACTTTCTTTATTTCCTTCTTAATTCTAAATTAAAGCGTAATGATAGATACAGTGATTTTAAAACGCAATGGACTACTATGACTGATTCTTTTTTTTTTTTTTTTTTTCACTTGTAATGTTACACCCAGTTTTTGTTGAGAAACTTTTAAGGGTTCAACCAAACATGAAGAGGCTTTATCTTCTTTTAAGGGCCGAAGATAAAAAATTAGCGGCACAACGCTTCAATTCAGAGGTATGTCGACTTAGCATATTGCTCAAGAGTAACTTTGCTATATATATATTTCTTCTGTCCTAAGATGATTGTACCTTTAATAATTTTATAATCTTCAATAATTTTCTTTTTGTGTGTCATCTTTGTAGATTATATCGAAGAATTTGTTCCGGGTTCTAAAAGAGGAGTGTGGTCCAAATTTTAATACCCTCATTGCACAAAAGGTTACAGTTGTGCCTGGTGATATCACTTGTGTGAATCTAGGAGTAGAGGACTTGGATTTGTTGGAAGAGATGTGGAAGGAAGTAGATGTTGTTGTTAACGTAGCTGCAACCACCAACTTTGATGAAAGGTATAATCGTATAATAATATGCTTACTAATTCTCTTTAACTCAATTGAACTATACATTATGTTAATGATCCTCTGATCAATTTAATTCATATACTGAAGAAATGATTTAAAGAAAGAAACATAAAAAAACCGTACACAAGAAAAGTCAAATTCATTAATAGTACTTTAAATTTATTACATAAATACTTGAACTATTTTACTATATGAATTTATAGAGGGTATTACTTTTTCTGTAACGGAATAATTGTTCAGTTTAGAATTTTTACTTTTCAGAAAAATTATCTATGTTTGATTTGTTTTTTAGTTGGTTTTTTCAAAATTTTTAATTAATTAATATATGTCTCATCCCATCATACCTTTTTACATTCCTAATGCACCTTTTTATATTTCTAATATATTTTTTTATATTCCCAATACAAAAAATACACTCAAAAAACAATCTAAACATATTGATTAGATAATCATTTTATTTGGGGATAACTGAGTGTATATCTCAAGACTACCAATATGCCCCAATAATAACATAAATTGTTCCATTGTATGTTGTAGATATGATGTGTCCCTTAGCATTAATACAATGGGGGCTATGCGTGTCTTGAACTTTGCTAAAAGATGTGATAGAATGAAGGTGTTACTCCACGTTTCTAAAGGGTACGTGATCACTTTTTTTTTTTTTTTTCAAAGGGTACGTGATCACTTTATATACCAGGTTGTCTTAATTTATTTGGTTATGTATTTTTCATTAAAAAAAAATCACACATTAAGAAAATCAATAATTTAACTGTATGCATTCAATTGTAAATAATAATTATGTTTATCGAATTGCAGCCTACGTATCAGGAGAAAGAAAGGGACTAATTCTTGAAAATCCCTATCGCGTGGGGGATACCCTCAATGGGACATCTGGTTTAGACATCGAAAATGAGAAGAGAATCATTGATGAAAAATTAAAAGAGTTCAAAGCTGAGAATGCTACTGAAAAAGATGTCAAATTAGCCATGAAAAATCTTGGAATTCAAAGGTTTGCATTGTGTTCATTATTCAACTTCCTTCTTTATTCCATGGTTAATTAGGCGCAACAGTAATTTGTTAAACCAACAGTTCTTGAGGTGAAACAAATTAAGAGTTTGTCTTCTCTTAAATAAATCTTTGTATTTGAGTAATGTGTGTGTAATAAATTATTTGGAATACAAGCATATATAGTTAAGCTCAAAGGTTAATTATATATATATTTTTTTTACATTATGGTATTTGTATGTTACTTGTGTAGGGCAAGGAAATTTGGATGGCCAAACACCTATGTGTTCACAAAGGCAATGGGGGAAATGCTTTTAGGGAATCTCAAAGCCAATTTTCCAATTGTCATTGTTCGACCTACAATTGTAACCAGCACATATAAAGAGCCTTTTCCAGGTTGGGTTGAAGGACTAAGGTAATCTTACTCTCCACGGATCATTTTTGCGGTTCCTAATTAATTGTTTAAATCATAATAACTCTTCTTTGTACAATACTCCATCAGTTCTAAAACAAAAATTAATGAAAGAAAGGAATTGTTTTTTATTTTTTATTTTTTTTTGGACAAAAGGGTATATTTATGTAGACATTTTACAAATTAAGATTGTTTATTTTCATTTCATAATTTCAGAACCATCAATAGCTTTGTTGTTGGTTATGCTCAAGGGAAACTTTCTTTCTTGCTTGGCGACCCTAATACCATAACTGATCTTGTAAGTGATTTTGATTTGGAAAGAGTAGAATAATGATTTTGGCTTAGGAATGTTTACGTTAACATTAAATTATCTAAACAAGAATTATAAATACATATAAGCAGATTCCAGGAGATATGGTGGTGAATGCTATGGTTGCAGCCATTGTGACACATATGAATAAATCCAATGAAGAAGAAGAGATCATCATTTACCAAGTTGGTTCGTCTGCATCGAATCCAATTTCGTATTCTTCAATTCAAGATTTTGGCCAGAGGTATTTTATGAAGCATCCATGGATTGATGGAGAAGGAAAAGCTGTTAAAGTTGGGAAAATCCCGGTTCTCAAGACTATGGAAATCTTTCACGGTTACATGGCTCTTCGTTATTTGCTTCCCTTAAAGGTTCTTTATTTTCCCTCTCTCTCTCGCTTTTTCTTAATGTGTCCAATTTTTGAATAAATCGCGCAAATTAGTATAGTACCTTGATTTCATGTCTCAAATACTATCTCCATCTTCAAAAAATAGTCAACATTGAGTTTGCAAATTTCTACTAAAAACAGTAGAAAACTCAAAACTCAACATGAACTATTTTTTTGGGATGAAGGGAGTACATTTCAAATTAATGCACCACTTTTTATTATAGTAATAATCGTGGACAAGCGTATACATTTTCAGTTGTCCCTTCGAGACATTCGATAAAATTGGAACGATATAGAGAAGATTATCATGGCATCTGTGCTAGGATGACACGCACAAATCGAAAAGTGGTATATATTATTATATTTTGAACCAAAAAAAAATAATAAAAATTAACCGGTGGATTCATTTGGTTAAATTTTTCCTAGCTAGATCTTATAGCTCAACATTTAACTTTTTTTGTGTTGCTAATTAATTGCCTCATATTTCAACCCTTCAACATCTAACCGATTAATCGAACTATTATTTAGGGTTTGGAGATTCTGAATGCTGCATTTTGCCAATATTTTGGCGGATTGTACCACAATCTTTGCCGCAAAATAAACTACGCGATGAGGATGATTGAGCTCTATGAACCGTACTTGTTCTTCAAGGGAATGTAAGTACATAGTCTATATCTCATGAAATAATTTCGATAATTTTGTCAATTAAAAGTTGATAATCAAATAGCTCATTTTATTGCGAATCGCCCAAAATCGCCCAAATTTTTCTCAACGTGCAGTTATGACGACATGAACACCGAAAGATTGCGTCAACCTATTAGAGAGGAAAAGGGTGCTGAAAATATGTTATACTTTGACCCAAAGAGTATCAATTGGGAAGACTACTTCATGAACATCCACCTTCCTGGAGTTGTGAAATACGTATTCGGATGATGTAAAGCTACCGGTTGTCTCTGAGTTATATCAACACGATTTGTTGGGTTATAATTCTAATATCCTTATTAATGAACCGATTTCAAATTCGAATAATTGGAAATGTTTTATACCTTAATGGAAATGTGAGAAGATTATTGCTATGGTTGGTTAATTTGGAGGTTTATTATTTACTGTTTTGGTGACTAGATGGATTGAACGCCCGAAATTATTAGATATAAGATCCTATTGTAGCTCTTTTGATAGTTTTTTTCTATTTTGAGAGAAAAAAATTTATTCATAAAATTAAAATTTCAGATAATTGGACGAAGTAAATTTTAAAAAGATGTTATTTTCTGGTGATTTTCTCAAGTTACTAATATGTACGAATGGCTAAGCGGAAATCCTAAATTGAAACACACATACACATACATACACCCTAACAAAAGTAAGTAATAGGACAATATGTCTTGAAAAAGAAAACAAAATTTCCCTATTAAAAAAAAAACAACAACAACATAAGCTAATCAGTAAGAAAGATATATGAAAGAGAAAACTAAAATGATGTAGAATAACATAAATTAAGGATGAGATATTACCTCTGATCAATGATGGCGAGAGATATATTGAGAAAGAGGCAATTTATATGGTAAACAAGGTTCACCATTCTTGGTGCACTTGTCTTATTATTAATATAACCTAATTATAGAATGAAAAATTAATTAAATTACCATTACATTCCTCCATTCTCTCTCACATTCAATTTCTTTTATTATTATACTAGATGTTAAACCTGCGCGATGCGCGGGATTTATTTATATACATTATAAAAAATTTACAAATAAATATAAAAAGTGTAAAATGAATTTTACTATTTTTATTTATAATCCATCAGTAATGTAGGTGTTTTGGAGTATATTTTACTATCCAAAAGTGGAAATAAATAGAGATAAATTGGGATTGATGATAATTGATTATCCAAAATTTCAGTGATAAAGATAAAGTTTACAACAACTTTTGAGATATTATTAAGAAAAGATTATATTTATTTGGGTAAATATGATATTACACAAATAAATGCCTTGGTTTGAAATTCAAAAGATAACGTGTAATTATAGTTAAATCCCATCCTTTTAGTAATAATTGAAGGCAAGTTTTGTAGCTTTTTTTCTTTTTTATTGGTGAAAAATACAAGGTTATGTTTTTTGGAGAAGATTTTAAAGATAACATTAATGTTGAATGATTGGTTTTTTTTTTTTTTGAATTGTAGTCTATTGATTTACATGATTGGGAGAGAGATTTTTTTTTTAAGAAATTAATTAAATGAGTCCAGTAGTAACTTTGGGGATTCTTTTGGGGAGGGAATAATTCTGGTGCATTAATGTTCATTAATCTCGGCCATTAAATTTAATTAATTTTTATTTTCCTATTTTAAATTATAGTTTTAAATGCCATTTGATAAAACTTTATTTACATAAAATTTGAAGGACTATTAGTATAATTGTTGTAAATATTTTTTGAATCAACCATTAGAAAAATGACACATGATTTTATCCTATGTAACACCTTTAGAATTCTTTTTTGTTTTTTCTCTCTGATTTCTCTCTTAGTATAATAATACTATAGATTTCTAATTCAAAAGAATTAATGTTCTAAGTTATAATTACTAATGTAAACTGATAGATGAAATAATTTAAATTTTATCACAGGTCATGAAATCTTGATATTTTATGTTATGAAAAAATTGATTCTCAATCATGATTTTGCGGTCGACCACTGCGCACCAGATTCCTGTGATTGCGCCTTTCCTCAGCGCAACAGAATCCATTGCTCAGTCAACAACTTTCGGAGATAACTCCCTTAATTCACTCACCAACGTCAAATCAGGAAACCCAAAATTTGGCTGTTGATAGGTCAAAGTCAGACTCTTTAATTCCTCAATTATCTACCTCAAATATGGAGGGTATATCTCTGCAAAATAATTCTCTTGACTACCCTATTCAAAATTTTTATAATACTATCTCCACCACACAATTAAATCCCGCTGCTGCGGAATTTAATTTCTCCCCCATGCCACAAGATCCTCTTCTAGAAGTGCTACTTCCAATTCCAGATCCAATCATGGAAAACAACCGATTTTTATCCAAGGACGATACAGAGGTAGGAAGAGTACCGAGCTTACAAACCCAAGTTATTCTATTGAAGAAATAAATTTCAAAGGCGGACTAAATCATGCATCTAATGATTCTGAAGATGAAGTCTTCGATATGGAACACGCAATAGAACAAGAGTCATTTTACAGTGAAGTTTCTGCGGCAACGTACAACAATCAATCGAAAAGCAAAGTCTAAAAAGAAAATTCAAGTTCATCGATCTGCTAAATTGAACAAGGATTAAATTTTAGCTTCAAATCAAAAATTATATTTGATATATGGTTTAGAATATTCGCTGCCCTATTTTTTCTTTATTATTAATAAAATTATTTTTGTTTAAAAAAAAAAACAAAAATGTAACGGTTTTTTTTTTTTGTTTTTGAAGGAAAAAAGAAAACCTACTCCCGTATTGGTAACACCCAGCCCGGAATGATCAGATTCCGGGAAGCCCCCGTGGCCGAAGATCATTGGATCATCAAAGAGCGGCAGTTCGGGTGTGTTAGAAATATAAGGAACGTTTTCCCACCACTCTGGAACTGGAAATGGATCCAACTCGAAGGGAGCATCCCATTGAAAATTTTTATTGGATATCATTTCTTTTTCTTCTTTTTTTTTTTTTGAAGATTAAACTTGTCTGCTGGAAAAAAAAAAATGAAGAACGATGATAAGACTGAAAAAAAAAAAAAAAAAACTATGTACTAGATGTTATCCGCACGATGTGCGGGATAGAATATAATAATTTTATGAATTTATTAATAAAATAAAAATATATAAACCAATTATGAGAGTATAAATCAATTTCCAATGCAAAATAACTAACGTCACATAATTAATTAATTAGGGATGAGAGTAATTAGATTTTCTTCTGAAGAATAACCAATATTGAATAATTTATTGCTGCTTGCTTCTGATTCTCCTTGCAGCCTAATTTTCGTTGTTGCACATTCCCATTGACGTCAGATTTTCAGTCTTCTAACATCATGTTTGAAGCAATCAAAAACATAAACAAATTTCTCAAGTTTAAATTTGATCACTATAAACATAAGTAACCAATTTTTAAGATACACCTTGACTTCCGTTCTCTACTTTGAAGAACTATGTGCGCCAAAACACTTATATTTAAAAAAATAGATCTTTACGGCCTCTTTAACAACACATGCTGCCACAATTTCCACCCATGCCATGTACACCCGACCAAAATAGAAATAATCATTGAGACATAATAAAGATTTATAAAATAAGTGAAAATAATTGGCTTATAGAAAAAAATAATTTCATAAACTAAAACGATTTGTTATTTTATGGAGCAATCAAACAGGAAAAAAAATTGGGAAACAAAGAGATGAAGGGTCATATTTATTGGTGAAGTACAGAAAAAAAAAATGATACTACTTTCAATTAGGGAGCGACTGCTTGTATAGTTTTATGAGAAGATAACATTCCATATTATCGTGTTAATACAATAGTTTTCTTTCTATAGCATCAACATTTTTTTTTATCTTCATATGATTTAAACACCCGTAATTTGAGATATTTTAGAAATGTTATTTCAAATTTATCAAGTTTTCTTTTAAATGATAGGTCATGCATTAATTAAATTCAAAGTCAAAAATTAATAATTAATAATTTAGCAAAAAAAGAATAATTAATGGAGATATTCAACTCTTTATCTTTAGAGATTTGAGAGGGATGCGTATATTAGTCTTCATTTGAGAAAGATACATGCATGAGAATTCTTTTGTATTTAAAGGCAAGAAAATAAGCAGTGATTTGATTAATTTATTATTGTAACATTTTCCTAATTTCAAAGCATTATTTGTACCGAATACATGCTTGATGCAGTTGAATTGTCATATATTTTGTCATTAATATACATTTGCTTTGAGTCTCGTTATTTAGAAATTGCATATCATACTATATTAGCCGTAATTAAGGGATTTGCTGATTTTTTGGGTTTGATAATTAATGGGTGGTATATTAAATTGAGGGGAGTCATTTTCACCGAGAATGAAAGGCTAGAAGAATAACCAAGAATCTTGACATTAATTATTAATTATTTTTGAATTTGAAAAGATCATTAAAATTGTTTAATGTTTGATTCAATATGTGATGGCATCATTCCCATAAATTGGATTAATTTTTCAAATCAATCAGTTTTTATTATGAATCAAATAAATATTTACCTTTTTTGGGTGACACATAATGGAAAAAAAAAGGCATTAATGTAGATTCTTTAATAAATATTTCGTATTTTTTTCATCTCACCAAATATAAAATAGAAAGTTTACTATACAATTAACTGATATACTTAAATGACAAAATTTTAATATTTCAATAACAGGAAATTCAAAGGACTTTTTGTGTAATTGTTGTAAATATTTTTTATAATACCCAATAGGAAATTAACACATAGGATTTTATCCTATGTGGCAACGTGAGAAGAAATTTGATTTTCTCTCTCGGGTTTCTCTCTTAGTATAATACTATAGATTTTTAAATAACTTATTATTTTTTTAATGAAATTTGCATAATTTTGATGAACGCTATTTTATAAGTTAAATATAGTGTTTATTTTATTTTTTTATTTGGGACTAATCTTATCAGTGTCATGAAAACCTGTGAAATTTAAATACATATAATATGAAAAAACAAGATTAGCATTCATGAATGTTCTCTGCAATGAGTATGAACCTTTATACTTTATAAACTCACAAAAATAATTTATTCATACTTACCTACTTTTAAGAACATTTCATATCATTTTTATGAATAGTCCATCCAATATGTGTGTGACCATCTAATTAATTACCATAAGTTTTTATTTGTGATTTTTTTTCAAAATAATGAAATTTCCATGACATGAATAAC